GTAGAGCAGGCTTGGAATGGCTTACTGCATTGTTTAGTGTTATATTCTAGACTAATAGGATGCCTGAATAGTGGAGGTGGAGTATAATGGTCCCGGTGTATAAGAACAAAGGTGATGTCCAGAGCTGTAACAACTATAGGGGCATCAAATTACTAAGTCATACCATGAAAGTTTGGGAGAGAGTGNATTCTGTATTTAATATCTCTTATATTGCTGTTATTTTATTATGCATTTTTATGGTACTAATATATCGGCTCCTGTTGCTTTTTTTGAGCGGAGGGTCTCCTGGAAACAGCCTCTCTACCCTTCGGGGTAGGGGTAAGGTCTGCGTACATATTACCCTCCCCAGACCCCACATGTGGGATTATACTGGATCGTTATTGTTGTTGTTGTTGTATAGGAAAGGGGCAAGGTTGGAGATGGCCTGAGAGGATCTATGGAAATTGGGTGCAAATTCTAGTTCTAGGAAATTAAGAGGGAAAAGTAGCATTGGATGTTTTTTTTATTTTTCTTGTTTTTTTCCACAACTTTAAGCATTTGATTTTTTTATTTATAACTTAAAAGTTTTGAAACTGGTAAATAATGAACTAATCCTTCTAATTTTCTTACTAATATTAGGCTTCTAGTACATATGTGACATGCACTTAATCCTTACATCACATAATGTACTAAGCTCCCGTTTGGCTATAGATTTTAGTTTCATTTTAAAAAAATTAAAAACATTGTTTGTTTATGAAATATTATTATGTTTTGGGACAAAAAAATTCAAAAAATTTCAAGTTCCCAATAACTGATTTAGGGCAGTTTTTTGGTTGAAATTTTTTATTCCACTCACAAAACTTCATTTTTTCTTCAAATAAAATGCATGTCCAAACAAAACTTCAACTTTCAAAAATTATTTTGCCACACAACTTCAAAAACTCTTTTTTCAAATTTTAATCAAATCTATGTCCAAACACTACTTAAATACTCTAAGCTTATTTTTATTAGCTAATCGTAATTCTTGCGGAAAAAAAGGTTCATTAACAAAGAAGAAATATTTGTTGAAGCAACAATTTACCAATCACTTTTTAGTGGTAAATAAGGTTGATTTTTTTGTAAGAAAATGAGTATTGAGTTTGTAATTTTATTATTATACCTTTTAAATTATATGGTACATGTCATATACATAAAATAATATTTAAGAAGATGAATAATGCATAAAATTGTCATACAAAAATTGGGTAACTCCTACTGGTACTGTTTGCATCACAATTTTGCAAAGGCATAAACATTGGACTGTTGGAAGATTTAGCTCATAACCATTTTTTCACGCAAAATGAAAATTAATTATTGCCAGCTTAATATAGGTCAATTCAACACATTGTTATCAACATTCTACTATATAATAAATGAAAGTTTTGATACGACAGAGGGCATTTTTGATACAACATTCTATATTTAACCATCGTTAGTATTTTAATTGTTCATCTGTAGTTGAGATTTTGTAAAAGTTTTTGGGAGAGTTCTTTAGTGTGTGCAATCTATTTGTCTCCTTTTTCTTTGTAATCTGCCTCTGAATGCTGCTTTTTTTATGTTCTCTTTTTCTTTTTTGCATGTTTTTATTAGCCAATGAACTAATAGTATGGTTGCAATGATGACTTGAAAGGTGAAGATTATTGGAAGAACGTTGTGCTTGAAATTTTCTAATCTAGATTATCAACGATTTAATTTTTAGTCAAAATTTTTGTTGCGTTGTTTATTAATGGGTCTAGCTTATTAAAATTAAACATTGATCTTAATGGTGATGATTTTGTGTAACCTTCACATCATGAAGTTGTTTAGGACAAGTATAGTGTGCGCCATAAAATTGAATATCCTATACTTTTCGTGTAGACAGAAATAGAGAAAACGATACTTGATTATGTCATGAAATCATTCGATATTGAGAAGTCAAGCATATCAAGGAACAAATGTTACAATAGAAAACTACTTAGAAGATAAAATTGATCAGGGAGGACAACTTTGTAATTATTTGTTAGATGTTCTTGATATATGTACCAATGTCAAATCTTCTAATTTATATTGAAACTAGATGTGAATAGCCCATGCTAGCACGGGCCCAACAATTTGAACAAGGTCTATTTTCATTCTTACTTTAGTTATGAAAAAAAAACAGCTTGAGATGGATTTTTAAAACATAATTGTGAACACTTAATTTCCTATTTTTGTTATTCGTTATTTTCTCTCAAAAGTTTATTTAAAGCTTCAACATAGTCATTACTAAGAAAGGCACTTTCTCCAAGAATGAACAACATGTCAGTAATTACAAATATTTGCTGGAAGTGTTATAAGCATCTGAGAAAATCAACTGCAGAATTTACTGGACTACATCTTAAGTTCTTGCTCATTGCAATCTTTACCTACACTTGTCTAAAACAAAATATATAACCTATTAACATCACAAACCTGAAAAGGACACAACACTCATGTAGAATAGATCAAAAGGAACAAACTCAACTTATTTGCATGCAGAGTATTTCACAAATTCAAGAAATTACTTTGGTCCACTTTTACAGAAAGTATCAAGTACAATAAATTATCAAATATGGTCCACTTTCATAAAAAGCATCAAAGTACATATTTTAGAGTAGAGAGCTGGTGTTGGCTGTTTCAAGCTCAAACTGATCATCACGAGCCATATAAGCAATCTTCTGATTTACATAACAGATAATTTCACTGTCAGCAATTAAGCGGGTTAACTCTTACTTAGTAGTTTGGCAAAAACTAAGTAATGGGTTTAATGTTTGGCATTATATGAGCTAACCAGAGTTTGTAACTAATAAAACTAATCGAGGCTTAAGATCATCTGCGAGCCTCTAACAGTTCTACTCTTCAGATACATCAGAGGATCAACTTTTATAAGGCAACTTGTCCCGCTTCCCTTCAGATATACAAAGCCAAGCTCAAATTTTATTCCAATCTAGATTTTTAGAGAAATAGTGATACCTACAATGATATTTAGAGCTCCAAGTCACATAAACTTTCTGACTATTTGAGTCCGATATTAAGCAAAAGTTATAAATTAATCCGTATATACTACAGATAAAGTGATCAATAAGCACTACAAACAAAATTGATAACACAAGTGTTAGTACTATAAGTAGAAATAACTAAGAAGAGAAAGATATAGCATTGAACGAAAAAGGGCACATTCACTTAAGTGAGTCAGGTCATCATGTGGGCTCAATCGGAAGGCTGCTCCAAATTTGGTATCCAGTATTTGATGTTACATTGTTTCTTCCATTTGCTAAGGGACCTCAAAAAGCCTTATATAATTTTGTAACGCATAGCTCTTGGATCAAGCATTCAAGCCCCACATTACTTCTACAAAATAAAGCGCGCGCGCACACATATATTGACCACTCCGACTTTCTGCATCACTATTCTAGCTACAAAGAGATTTAATATTTCCTATTTTCACCAAGAAGCTCAGGAATGGTTAAGCTTGTTTGTTTTCCTTTTAGCACTCCTTACTATCACTATGGCCGCAACATTTCTTGCTACAAATGCCTACAACTACCTTGATATTGTAAATCCATCTAATTACATCTTCAAATTCTAAATATTTGGGTTCTCAAATTAGTTCTTTGTTCTAACAAATTGTTTGTTATTCTAGTGATCAAGGCATGA